AACAAAAAAAGAGAGTGTGTGAAAAAAAAAAAAAATATATATATATATATATATATATATATATATATATATATATATATATATATAAGTAAATCAACATCTGGAGAAAATTTTGTATTTTCACTGCGGTCACTATGGCTTTGTACAATTAGTACTTGTTATTAAAAGGCTAAGTTTTATAATTTTAGCACCAGTTAAATACAGATTTGAAGGGGAAATGATGACATCAAGGAGTTATTTTGTCATTTCAGCAGCTTTTTAAATTGTAATATTTACAGTGGATCTAATAGGAGCACAAACTCTAAAAGCAAATTCCTGAGCTAATTTCTAAAATGCTAACCCGTTTTATTTAATTTTCCAGCTGAAATCAATCTTTGGTTGATTTGACTTTTACATTTAGACAGACTTTATTGTCATCAATTGTACGTTTAAAATGTTTAATTCTGTTTCACATAAGGACTTTTTGTGGAGAGCAATTGAAGCCAGACATTATTTGCTGCAAAGCTCGAATCCCTGCAGGGTGGAAATGTTGCGTCACACAGCAGCTTTTCCTTCACAAAAAGCACATCAAGCCACCGACGAGCCAAACTGGAAGATCCCTTAAGATCATTTCTTATTTTCACATTTTTGGAATCAGTCCAAACAAAAAGATTACAAGATTAAGAGTTTAGTTTGTCATTGTCTCTATTTTAAAGCTGACTCAAAGGGAGCAGATTCGTTCCCCCCACTCAGCGCCCAACACAGGATTAATTCAAGCAGGACCGATGACCTTTCACCCCCTCCCTGATTAAAGACACAAGATGGAAAACAAAGCATCAAAATTAGCATGATTCCATTCAACCACAGCACAGATGAAAGCCACGAAGTGACACCACAATTAGACACCCCAAAAACAAATCAGCCTCTTTGCAAAAAACAAAAAAACATGGCCGGCTCGGGAAGCAGAACACGTTACCTCGTCGGCGGCCAAAGCTCCGGCCTGCTTGACAGCGCCATGGAGGGGAGAGGGGGAGCAGGGGAGGGAAGAAATACAGACACATGGGTTTCGTTGAACTAAACCAAACTAGCAACATCGCTAAGCTAACAGTGGCGGACCGCACCTAAACGTCGGCAATAGGACAAGAGATCATTACAGCCACGGGGTAGAGGATACGGAAGAGAGTTAATGCCACTAAAAAAAATAATTTAAAAAAATTCTGACTTTTTGCTCAGAATTCTGAGAAATTTCTCCGAAATCCTGTGAGATGAAAAGTCAAAATTCTGAGAAAAAAGTCAAAATTTTGAGAAATACATCAAAATTCTGAAAAAATGTCAGAATTCTTTATAAAAAAGGATACATTCTGAGAAAAGCATCAGAATTCTCAGAAAATAATCTGAAATCTTCTGAGATCAAAAGTTAGAATTCTGAGAAAAGTGAAAAAAATATTTTTCTTCAGTGGCTCAAGTCCTCTTCCGTCCGTATATGGAGGACCAATCCTGCCATATTCAGGGATAATATGGAAATAAAGAAATGATTAATTAATATAACCAATCAGATATTAATATCTGTATCGGTGCCTATATTGAAAAAAAGTTCTAGATCAGGTATCAGTGACAATGTGCCCAGTCCAGATCTATTCAGTATAGTTCTATGGTTTAATGTTTATTTTGCAATATATTTAGAATTCCTAATTGCACTTTATGAATCATTTGAAAGGTTTGTTGCAGTTTATTTTTTACATGTTTGACTAAGGTAGACAACCTATTGATTTTGTCAGTTTCAGTTTATTTATTATTTATTTTTGCATTAGCTGTTATACTCTTAATTGCACTTACTGGACAATTTAAAGTTGTTTTTACATGTTTGACCAATAGCTTGTGCAGCTATTGGTGTATTTAAGTGTAGCAATAAAATTGTAATTCAGTACATTTATTTCTGTGTTTTTTTAAGAAACATTTTAGTAGAGCACTGTTTTTCTGTATGCATTCTGTTATTTTGTTTACACCAACACCAGATATCGGTATCGGTAGTGACAAAAGTGGCTCGGTGCGTCCCTAGTTACAACCGTTTCAAACAAATTCTATAGGATCAAAATTTTTAAATTCATTAAAAATGGCAGGATTGGTCCTCTGTAAACCTGCTGCACCTGCCTTGGCGACAGAGGCGCAGCAGCATTATGCACGGCCGCACAGCGCCGGTGATTATGATCTGGGTTTAATGAACCTGCAATAGCTGCACTTCCTGCTAATCTTCTGTGAATATTCACAAATGAGGCCATAAAGAGGCGTGCTGCTGGGCCGGTTAGTCATTACCATTGCTCTGGTGAAATATTAAGAGTTGGTCGACAGGTCGGATGGAGCAGACCAGGTGAGAGTGGAAACTTCCCGACGGTGTATGAATGTGGCTGGCTGATAGTAAGGCACAAGTGGAGAGTTTGAACCAAATGTGACCCCATCATGACCTTTAGCAGTCACATACCAGATGATTTCATTGCTTTGACTTGGCAATATGAATAAAAAAAAAATATATATCAACTGTAACTTCAAATTAGTGTTTTGTAGCTCACTCTGGGGATTCAAATGATCAGTTACACTGTAAAAACACAAAATCTTACCAAGTATTTTAAGTCTAGTTTCTACTGCAAATATCTAATTATACTTGAAATGAGACAAAACTTAAAACATGTTAAGTAAATAATAAAAAATTACTAGTTCAATTGTCAGATAAATTTACTGATAATATGATAATTTCCCCATGTAACAAGTGAAATAATCTGCCAGTGGAACTAAAACTGGGTTGCTGGTGTTGCTAGGTAACAATTGTGAAATAAGTTACATCAATGGAATAACTAATTTTTCATCAATATCAAGGAATTATTTATTAAAAATAAGCTTCTACGTCTTGCTGATAAGTTACTTTTAAGTTGGTACACTTGAATTAAGACAAAACTAAGATATTTCCAATAGAAATGAGACAAAAGGTAATTGGTAAGGTTTTGTGTTTTTGTAGTGTAACGACTTAATCTGAAGTTGATTGATCTTATTGGTCGGCTGACGATTAATTAATGTGCACCAACCATAACATAATATAAACATAACAGGAATGGTTACATTTTGTGTAATATTTTTTAATTTTGCACATTTTGTGTTTCTACTGCTTCTAAAAACAGTCCAACCACTTAAAAAAAAAACATCCAGATGACTTTTAGCAATAAGTTAATATTTTTTTTTTTTATGTCTGGAAAATTAGCCTTTTCAAAAACCTTCAGAATGTAAAGTCAAAATCATCAGCCACTGTTACCTAGCAACCCCAGCAGAGTTCTGTTCATCACCTAGCAACACAAATGGAACTCCAGCACTTTTGGTCAGCTGGTTTTACCACTGCATGTGTTTTACAATGGCAGCTGGAATTTGTTTTCATATATATTTAACCTTTATATGTAAGGGAATGGAACTGACTGGTTTCATGGAAAGAGTCTTTGCTTGTCTTGTTAAAGCACTATACAAGTCTGATGTCATTTAATTTCATTTAATTTATTTAATTAGTTGAACAAACTCTCATTTTTGACAACAACCTAATCAGAAAAAGTTAAAAGTGTTCCGTTATTGACTTTTCAAAGCTGTACGGTTGTATAATTGTACATCTCTTTGGCTTTTCACACCGAGTTGAAAATGCAAAGCAGCAGCTTATTTGGATTTAACGTGACAAAAGTCTCTAAAACATCTGATAGGCAGAATTAACCAGACTAAAATCTCATCATCCAAGAGAGACTTTGTGCAAAAATATGTAATGAACATGTTCTGTATCGCCCATGGAGCAATCCTAACCCGTTCAAGAAGACATAATAGATCACCTTTAGAGATAAAATCCTGCTGTTTTAACATTGAAGCGCAGAAGAAGTTAAATGCCAGCAAACAGCAGGGGGAGCAGATCCTCCCGTACCCCTTAACTCATCGGCCACAATAGCAGACTTGTCTCCTCAAAAACCAATAAGCGCCTTGGCATTGTCAGACCACCGCTATCTGACTGCATTGTGTCTTCTGCCTGGCTAAGTTTTCATTAGAGAAACCTGGGAAGTCTCTGCAGCGTCGCCCTTTCACCGCCTGGCCTCAGCAAAAACAAAGTCGCCTAGCAACCAGGCAGAAACGGAGAGCGCTCCGGGCTGGGAAAGCATTAGATGCCTCAGTGGCGTAGACAATGCAAGCCACGAGGGAGAGGGGTTAGGAATAAGCACTAACTTCTAACTGTGTGCTGCCTGGGAGGGAGAGGAAATCTGGGTGATCCCTCCTGGGTGCCGCGGGTTTGAAGTCAGAGACGAACCGCAGCAACAAAAAACCTCAGAGAGGAGGACCTGAGCCCGCTTTCTTCTTCTCTTCGGAAGAAACGAGCGCACCGTCCCTGGAGATTCTCTCACAGTGTGACGCCTCGGCGCTAACGGGAGGAAATGAAGCAGGAATTCCTAAAAGCTGACGCTGAAGTTCATCCCTGACACGTTTAGAAGATCTTGAGTGGATAAAAGAGAAAACGGGGCCCAGTAAACCAAAACCCCAACTGCACAAGCCCAAAGTAGAAACTAGAGCAAAGCTGTCCAAACTTTTTCCCCCGGGGGCCACAACGGGAAAATTTAAACTACTGGAGGGCAACAAAATTCATTAAATTAAAAAAATTATAAAAAATAAACTAGTTTGTGATTTTTTTTCTGCTCAACAATAAGCTTTAAAATAATAATTAAAAAAAATCTTATTAAAAGGAAAACAATTTCCACATTTTTCTTGACTTGTGGTCAGGGGCCAAACAAAATACTTTCAAGGGCCACAAATGGCCCCCGGGCCACACTTTGGACATCCCTGAACTAGAGCATTACTAAAATGGGTAATGTTCTACCTATTCTACCTCAGGTAGAAGGTCATCATCCCGAATGTCGCAATAATCGATTAATCACGATAAATTAAAATGAGAAAAGAGGTTGATTGACAGCGCTAAGCCCCGCCTCCTGGCTCTGATTGGTTGTTTTTGGAATAGTAGCTCAGGGAAGATGTGGAGAAAATTTATATCTTCCACAGATTATTTGTCTAATATATTGTCACAAAGTAGTGACAAGTTTTACAAATAAGTAAAAAGAAAAAATTTTTTATATAAAAGTTACTGCAGCTTCAAGGCCTGGACGGCTACCGCTGCGGTTTGGATCCAGCCGGGTTTCCCTCCTGGCTCTGGTTGGGCCAAAGGGGGGCAAACTAGTTTTACATGTGGGGGTATTTTTGGAGGAGCCATTCCCAGAGTCAAGCGTGGTTCCCACAGCGATCCGAGGTCTGTCCTCCAACATTTATGGCAGGGGTGTCCAAACTTTTTGTCACATGGGCCAAAAAAAAAATATAACTTACCTGCTAAACAATAAACTAAGCTTACAATAATTAATAGAAGACTTTTGTTAAAATTATTGTGTAAATCAATCAACGTATCCCCAAAAATTAAAAGAAAGGCATCCAAATTGTCTGTTTTGGGGAAAAAATACTAAAAGTAAAACATTCTCAGCTATAAAAAGCGGATTCTTGTCACTTTTTGTATGAAATTTTGATATATTTAGCCGGGTTTAATAAATTAAAAGCAGATTTTCATCCACCAAAGTCTGATTTTGAGTACAAGTCACTAAGTAGATGTGCAAAAACAGAATGCAAAACAAACATTTTTAATTTATTTGCAACAAAAACAAAAAATCTCCTTCTGCATTAACTACCTGTGCTGGCAGGACAAACTTGTGTAATTATTGAATTGTGGTAGCAGGGCCACACAAAAGCTTCCCAGGGGCCACATTTGGCCCCCGGCCCGTACTTTAAATACCCCTGATTTATGGTGATAGGGAATCCAAAACGCAGGGTAGGCTCTCATTACTCAGTTTAACTTTAACTCAGAATTACCAGTAAAACTAACCAACTAAAACTGAAGAAAATGTTATTTTCTCACAAAAACAGGACTTACTATTCAGGGGCAATATGTGTTCTGCTCCAGGATGGTGAAAGTTGAGTCCAATCCGTCCTGTTAAAGAAACATAAGAAACCGTTACAATCTTCATTTGATCCTCAATTACGAAAAACGTGCAGAAACGAACCGACATGAAGCGAATTAACCAATCGCAGACAAGAGAAACAGGAAACCCTGGTGTCCCATATCTGATACGCTCACCCAGACAAAAGCAGGTAAAGGATAGGATCTGACCAGGGACAATGTCTCCGTCTCACATGGACACATCTGTCAGCGCTTTCATGGAAAGCAGCTGGTGTAAGATGTCTAAACGGAAGACCTTCCTGATTATCTGTCTGTGACGTTACATTTGGAAAACGGCAAGAAAAAAAACAACTGGAACCTGGTTTAGGAGAGAATCAGCCTGCTTACACTGCACTGCTGAGTTTCCACCTCAACATTTACACTCGCAGATGAAATAAGTTGCAGCCAGATGAGCATTTATACAACCATACATCTTTGCAAAGTAGAAGCGTCGCCTCCTGCACAACAAACAATAATGGAGCAAGTGGTTTCTGGATGGTCAGCAACAAAATCCCTGTCTTTTCCAGCAGCCATTGTACAGCAGTAAAACCAGATGCCAAATGTGCACGAGTTCTGCGTGGGTTGCTAGGCAACGGTGGAGTGCCTGTCAATTGTGACTCAACCTTCGTGAAGCTCATTTTCCAGACATCAGAAAATATCAATTTCTTACGACAAACTAAAAAACGCCTGGGTGGTTTTCTAAAAAGCGCTAGGGCTGTTTTTAGAATCAGCTGATACAGCACAACTGCTTTAAAGTTTTTAACTTTTATAATACCAGGTTTTAATATACTTGTATTTAAAACTATATCACGCCGTAGTTACAACAACAGAAATCTCCCCTCCAACCGGCAATGAATCTTGGGATATGGTGGGCTGCGAAGGACACTAAGCTAGTCTGGAGGGGTCCTTAGGTATTTTAAGGACCAAAATGACAACAATTTATACAAAAAAACAACAAAATCAGGCGAAATAAAATTTTTCCAAATCAGTTTCTATCAATAAAAAACTTATGAAACTTTAACAAAAACTGTAGTTGTGTGTCTGTGTCTGGTGAATTTTTGGTTAAAACATGTTTGTTTTTCATTCAGCGGGCAGAAAGTCCAGAAATTTTACTCAGGAGCAGAAATACTTCATAATAAAATTACTTAAGTAAAAGTAAAAGGTACACCACAGTAAAACACTAATTAACGTACACCTTTTCACTCAAGTAAATGTAATTGAGTAAATGTAACTAGTTACTGCTGAACTCTGCAATAATGAAACTTGCAGTTAGAGCTGCCTGACACCAGGTGAGCTCCCTGCAGCTCCACCTGTTTCCAGCCCCATAACCCAGGCTAGTGAAGGCAGACAAGCCTCCACCTGCAGCACCGGCTCCTACAAATGCATGGATGTGTCCACACAGAATCTTGTGTCACACTTTTTCTGAATCAGAAAGACGTAAACACCGCATGACAACAACACCACATGATGTGTGTTATTTAACTCTCCAGAAGGCTCTCCAGCCAGCCGACCCCGTCCCGTTTCACCAGCCCGACGCATGCGGGTCGCACCAGGCCGCTGTCAGAGTTCAACAGCCCCGGGAAGCAGCAGAGCAGAACCACGTATTGGTAAACATGTGGGTGGTCTGTTTGTTTCAGCTCAAAACATCTGAGCGGCTGGAGAGAATCAGCGCAGGTTGTAAACTTTGACCCAACGCCACTGCATTCAAAACAGAAGACTGCTTTGATCAGAGGAGTGGCGATTGTCCCAACAACACAAGGCTTGCCTTTCTGTCTGCATTAGTCATGTTGGGTGACACAGGGAGACAGTTGCCTTCCTGAAGGCTTTAAATAACTCTGGGCTCGTGCCATCTGCTTCCCCTGAGGAGTTGATTGGCTGGGTGAGGGGATGCTGCTGCTGCAGTGACATTTCCTCTGTGAGCTATTCTCAACATCTCCAGCAGCGGCGGCTGAAGGGATGCCATCCATGTCCTTGTTGACTCAACAGCTTCCCCGTCAGGCACCCAGTTGGATCTGAGGGTGGCTGTCCTGGTTCTTTTTACTTTTTAAAGAGGACATATTATGCTAAATTTACATTTTTGTACTTCCATTTGGATCTCTACTGATCCAGCCTCTCGTTTTTTGGCACCAAGTTCATGTCTTTTGGTGTCTGGAAAATGAGCAGTTTCAAAAACCTCCGGATTGTAACATCACAAATCAGCAAGGGCCGACCGTAACTTAGCAACCCCAGAAGAGTTCCGCCCATTACCTAGCAACCCAGCTTGAGTTCCAACACACTTGGTCAGCAGGTTTTACCGCAGTAGGCTTGTCTAGAGAAGACAAGCATTTTGTTGTTGACTTAGCATCCAGAAACCACTTGCTGCATTCTTGTTGGTTGAGCAGGAGGCTCTACTGATGCTTTTCAAAGATGTACGTTTGGATTATTGTGCAACTGTTTGCAGCCATTTTCACATGCGAGTAGCTTTATGAACTACTTCATAGTTGTGAAGTACTTTATAACTATGAACTACGTCTTAGTTATGAAACAATGAAATGTTGCAAACTCGCTCCATCAACCAGAAGTTCTCCTGTAGGCCTGTAGGGGGAGCTGACCAACAGATCTTATGATACATTAGCTTCAGTAAAGATCAGATAAACATGGCTGCCATGTGCATAAAAGTAGTGGAAACAGAGCTGTCCAATATATGTTCATATTCATCTCTTTTAGAGTCCGAATGCCTAAAATATGCAGGCAAATGTTATTGTCATCAGCAAGTGTCGCTAATAATAGTTAGCCTGGATGAAGGTTAAGCTGGGTGTGAAAGCTCTCTGAAATCCAACTTCATTATGCACATTAAACCGCCCTATTAACATCTCTGAAGGAAAATCCCAGTTGCAGTTACGGGTGTGTCGAGAGCAAGGTGTGGAAATAAATAATAGCCGTGATTAGCAGGAGACAAAAATAAAAACCTCCCGTCAATGCAGAAAAGTGCAGCCAAGCCATCTGAATAAACAAGAACACAGATCGCAAAGAGGCACACAAGTACAAACAATGGGCAAAAAGCATCTTAAGAGCTCAAAATCAACTCAACAAGTTGCCTCAAAATAATTACAAGCACACTTAAAGGCATTTTAAAGATTAAAGTAATGCAAAGAAAATTAGATAAATTCCCTAATTGTGCCAGATCAACTGTATGTTCTCACATAAAGCATTCTTACGTATTTTCTAAATAAAAAGAAAGGCTTTCATGAATCCAGCTTAACCTAAGCTTTTAAATGCATTTATGTTGTGTGAAATCTGGATAAATATAATTTCGTAAACAAGCCCAGACTTGTTTTTAAACTGGAGAAGCTAAGTCAAGCTAACAGCAGCTACTCACTGAGAGGAAGCTTTCAACCTTTAACACAGCCAATAAATGCATCATCTTATCTCTGTGAAGTCATTACAGGCAGTTTAAAGTACACGAAATAATTGTTAATTATGTCAGCTGAAAAGTTTAAGGGGCCAAATCCAACCTGTCGATTGAACATTGACCCTTGGGAATGAGGATCCATTTTCTGAATCGAGACGCTGGTTTCCCTGCAGTGACCCTGTAGTGGAACATCCAGCTGTTACCACGCGCTGCTTAAACGGGTCGTTACTCATGCGGCTGCTGCTGTGCATGAAATTCATGTTTTCCATTGATCAACAGCCACATCGAGCCAGTGTCGCCGTTTGCTTTTCCTCCCCAACAACTCGCTTAAGTTGTGACTCAGTTCATCCAAAAACACAAGATGTTATCCAGCCCGCAACTGCAGTTCAAAACTGATAAAAATTTGGCCTGTTGATGTAGATGGATACTTTTAATATGTAATGAAGGTGAAAATTGTTACCAGCATAATTTTCCTACACAGGAAAATGTAAAGTACAACACAAAATATTTGTATTCTTATAACCAAGTTTATCTAAAGACTTTTACTGAAAAGACAATTTTGATGCAACTAAATCAGCTTTTCTTTTTAAAAATTTGGCTTAATGTAGCAAATGTTTTGAAAGAAAGTGACCCAGATCCTGTTCTTATTACTGAAAATAAATGTATTCAACCAAAGGAAACTGAAAACTAGGTGTATTTCTTTTAATACAGAAAACATGCTAAATTAAAATAGTAAACTTTTGCCAAAAAACTGAGAGCAATCTCAGAATTTAAAATAAATAAATAATAATATTTTTAGATTAATATTAGAAATGTGATAAAAGAATTTTAAATGTTAAAAATTTCCTTTTGAAAATTGAGATTTTTTTAACAAAACTTTTCTTAAATAAATTTTTTGTCTCCCCAGTTCTGCCAACTTTAAGCTCCTTTCAGAGTGAAATGTTTTAGAGCTTCTTGTCACTTTAAATCCAAATAAGACGCCCCAACTCAACGTTTACACTCACATGAAAATGTTTGCAAACAGATGCGCAATTATGCAACCACACATCTTTGAAAAGCATTAGTAGAGACTCCTGCACAACCAAAATGTTTCTGTGGTTTCTGGATGGTAAGTCCACTTGTCTTTTCCAGTAGCCATTGTACACCGCACACAGCAGTAAAACCAGTTGACCAAACATCCTGGAACTTAAGTGGGGTTGCTAGGTAACAGGCTGGGCCTTGCTGGGGTTGCTAGGTAACGGGCCGTGCTTTGCTGGGGTTGCTAGGTAACAGACAGCCCCTGCTGAGTTGTGACGTTACATTGCGGAGGTTTTTGAAACGGCTCATTATCCAGACATAAAAAAAAACAACAACTTATTGCCAAAAAATAGCTGTGCGTTTTGTTTTTTTTAATAATCGGGTTGTTTTTAGAAGCAGTTGAGCCCCAAATTAAAGTACAAAAACATGCAAAATGTGAGTTTTGCGTAATACATCCTGTTTAACCAAAGACTTTGAAAAAAACAATCTGCAACAAACTTAAGGTTAACGTTAAGCTCCTCTTTCAATACGTGTGAGTCAGAGCAGAGCTACCTGCTCGTTAACGCAGGCAGCTGCCTCACGTTGTTCGTGACAGCAGGCTGCGCTGAGAGACGCACCGTCACACATCTGCTGACTGGACAGTCTGAGATAAGAGGCGCGTGTGTGTGTGTGTGTGTGTGTGTGTGTGTGTGTGTGTGTGTGCTGGAGTTAAAAGGGCTGTTTGTTCACATACCCACAACCCAAACTGGGAGCTTTCAGAAAGTCTCAAAGATCAGATGCAACACAATGCGCCTCTCATAATCAGCACAAGTCGATTCAGAAACACTTTATTTGACGATGAATAACGTGACGTCGTCATAAACATGAACGAGTTTTCATAAAGTTTATGGTTGCCGTCATAGCAGCTGGCCAGAATACACAAAAACTGTACCAAAGTAAGAGCAGCACTACTTCAACATATTTTTAATTAACTTTATATTTTGGTCTGTCTGGTGATGTTATTTTTAAATATCAAATGGTTGAAAATGTACATTTATTTTACCGAATACCTTTTTAATCTTACTAGAGTAATTTAATGGACGACTACTTTTTACTTACCCATACCATACCAACTTTATTTATAAAGCACTTTAAAACAACCACAGTTGATACAAAGTGCTGTACAATTTAAAAACACAACATAATAAAAAAGTAATTAAAAACAGTTTAAAAACAGAATTACTGTCAAAATTTGTATATTTTGAGACAGTAATTCATATAAGTAACAAAAAAGAAGCAAAATTAGGCTAAAGAAAATGTTTCCAAATCAGTTTCTTTCAATAAAAAAAAAAAAAAAAACTTTAATAAAACCTGCAGATGTGTGTCTGTCTGGTGGATTTCTGATTAAAAAATGTTTTTCATTCAGTAGATACTGAATGAAATAAGAATAGAAATATTTCCTAATAAAATTACTCAAGTAAAAAGTAAAAAGTACAGCACACTAAAAGTACTTCTTTCAAAAAAAATACTCAAGTGAATGTAAATGAGTAAATATAATTAGTTACAACTCAATCCTGATTGCCATGAAGTGTCATTTGGTGAATAATGACATTTTTAGTTCAAAGTTGCATTAATTCTTGCATTAAAAGTCAATTAAAATGTCAACTTTGCACTAAACATGGTATTATTTAATGTCGGACACTTCAGTCAAACATTTACAAAGACAGGTGTTATAACATGATTATAACAGAGTGTGGTCAGTATTATTATGCACAGCCCTTCAAATACAGAGTTACCATCGATTCTTCTCCTGGGGGGACAGAAGAACTGAGGCAGACGAAGAAGACCGACTGATTTTTACTCGCATCACAGCTCAGGTGTGTTTTCATCTTTTAAAACCCGCATCCCTCCGCCTCTCCGTCTCTCTCTCCGTCTCTCTCTCTCTCTTTCTCTGACTCATAAAACACGAAAGGAAGAGCAGCTATTCCAGGCACAATGAGAAGTATGTGAGAAATGTCAGCGATGGGATGGAGGTGGGTGGTAACCGTTCAGTTAGGAATGTAAAACCGGGTCTATTGCATTAATTGGTTTTGACTGGCGGTTTCCAGCCTGTGAGCCGTTTCTCTGCTGCAGCAGCAACTCAATCCTAAAGGTTGGAGGAAAGTCTCTGGAAAACTACCAGGATTTTATCACTGGTATTATTAGCAACAACTCAGACCATGATGAGCATGTATGTCATTCAGTTTGGGCTTTAAAGTCAATTTTGAGTAGGTCAAACCCTTTACCTTAACGTTAGAGCTAGATTACAGTTGTTTAATCTATGGATTAGCTATACATAATCTATACATAGCCAATTACATTAGTACAATTCTTTACATTTCTACAACAATCACAGATTTTTCTATCAATGTTTCATTACTGACCTTGTTCCCAAATCGACTGAAGCTAAAATTGAATTTTTTTATCCTTTTTTTGTTTGTTTTTTTTGCCATTAACCTTCTCAGGTAGAATTGCACTCTGTTGCCATAGTTACCTCAACAAGAAACCTACCAAAATAAAAGCATGGTTGATGGTAGTTAAAATAAACAAAGGTAACTTTACAAAAGGATGTATGTAATTGTAGAGTAGTGTGATTTACAGCCAAAATTATACATACAGGCCTAAAGAAGAGTACGCCAACATCTGTTGAAATTAGGGCTGACGATGTGCTTTTGTCATGATATTAGTGTTTCATACCAGTCGATATTGATGATTATCAGTTTATTTCAATAATAAAAAAAATCTATGAAACTAACAAAAACTGAAGAACCTGTGGTTGAAACTGTTTTTCATTCAGTGGGTAGAAAATACAGAAATTTTACTCAAATAAAAGTAGGAATACTTTATAATAAAATTATTTAAGTAATAGTAAAAACGTGTTTGGTAAAAAGTCTACTCAAGTACTGAGTAACTGATCAAATTAGTCATTTAATATTTAAAAATGACATCATCAGACAGACCAAAATATAAAGGTAAGTGGAAATTTTGGTATTTTAAGGACCAAAATGACAATAATTCATAACAAAAAATAACAAAATCAGGCAAAAAAAAAAAGGTTTCCAAATGATTTTCTTTCAATAAAAAAAACTTATGAAACTTTAACACAAATGGCAGAATCCAGAAATTTTTCTCAAGAGTAGCAATACTTCATAATAAAATTACTCAAGTAAAACTAAAAAGTAAAAGTACTAAATGTAACTAGTTAACTGATTATTTCTCAGTGAAAATTCAGCTTCCTTTAGGAACAACTGAAGTGATTATTTTCTGAATTCCTATAAAATCGACCAGCTTTACTTTAACAGTATAAATTCGCCATAAGGCCCTGATGTTTCCTGCGTGGTGGAAAGCAGGCCCAACTCGAACAGCGAGCGGTTCTGCTAGCAGGGTGGAGGAGCTTTCTGCAGCACCTTCATTCTGCATTATGACAACCCAGCAAAGCATGCAGGGAACGCTCGGCTCATGGTAAAACGCCAAGCCTGCCTGGCTTTCCTCATATCTCCCTCTGTGTTTGTCGTGCTTCGACAAACACGGCGGACGCCCTGCGGGACGTTACGACACAGTGAAGCAGATAGCAGGGGCCCCGAAGATCACTCTGTCCTAACAATGTTCGCTCAGTGCAGGACTGGAAATAACGCAGCCAGCGAACGGGAAGAACAGGCGCACACCCCTCCCACCTTCGCTGCTCCATTGTTAGGGTGGGAGCGAAACGCCAACCTCACAAGGCCTCATCCTGGGTCGTACAATGGACAGCAGAGCTGGGACAACAATGAGTTCGCCCCAAGACCGAAGACAGATTCTTGTTTTTAGGATGAATCAGTTCAAATATTATTTTTGAAGCTGTAAATGAGCAATCAAAAAAATGTAGAAGATTACACTGTACAGATTGTTCAAGTGTGGAAACAGTCATAAAAATCAGCCTGTTCAGCCCTGAGCTTTTCCCATTAACCACTTAAATTTCAAGATGGCCGCCGTTTGAGTCGTTTAAACAACTATTGAAACAAATGTGACCCATTTCCACGACTTGCATGAACTTTATGTCACATATGTTTTCTACTTTGCTAATCATGTTCATGCATCTTCAAATCAATAATATCTAGAAAAATCAGAAACTGAGGACTTTGCTGTTTGTAAGTTTCACACCAGATGTTTTGTGTTTAGCAGTTTAGCATTAGCTTCTGCTAATTTTTATGGTTAGCAGTTTAGCATTTCTGCTATTTATCTAGCATTCAGTAGCTTCTGCTAATTTTTATTGATGAGCCAATATTTAGTGGTTAGTGAACCTAGCTTGTTGGTTAGCTGTGCCCACCACTGGAAATAATAACTACTGTCTATTTTAGTGCGAATGTTTATTTTCAATGACAGCCATGGCTGCCATCTTGGAAAATGTCCACCAGAAACAGGAAACACAAGAACAAGAAAAATATAACTGATTCTTAAAGTTATAAATATGAAGTCTATGATGGCGGCCATCTTCAATTTTTCAAAGCAAGCCTTTGGGAACATCTGTGCCAAGTTAGGTTCTTGTATTTTGCTGAAATATTCAATTATCTCCTGCAGTAGAAAGACAAAAAAGGCTTGAAAATGTTCTACAGCAGATCACAAAGGAATTATTTTAAATTTTGCAGGGCAGGCTCCATGTCTCAACTGATTAAAAAGTCATTTTAGGCTATGAAGCAAATAAACAAACATGCGACAGCAATAGATGACTGAATATTCCTAACCTGCAAAATGATTCCTCCATATAATGTCAGCGATGGTCAATGGGGGGCCACCAGCCGGGTGTGGTTTACCTTTGTCATGGTCAGTCTTTATCATATCCATTAAGGGATTCTCCAAAGAGTTCAAGTTAAAAGGATCAAAGGGCCGATTCCGGTCCTGGAAAACAGCAAAAACATGCAGACGCCTGGAATTAGTCACCAAAGTTAGTCATGAAAATGAACAATAAATAAATATCACAATAGACTGGATGTAATATTAGACAAGACTACAGTTATTCAGTATATTTGTGTCTGTGTTTTTAAAAGAAAGAAATATTTAAGTCAGTTCAGTACCCAGCATTCACTGCAATATAGAAAACCTCTAAAAATGTCCAGCTAAAGGAGGATTCCGTGAAAATAACGTTCCAGTTCCACCAGATGGTAACGGGAACGGTGTTAACGCCGAGTCTGTGGTTGGGGGTGAAATGACTGAATTTCCCTCGTTTGTTGACGCTTTCGTCTGAGAAACATGAGAGAAAAAACACCGACCAGAGCTGGGAGGCTGCAGTCTTGGCAGCTGTGTCCTGTATCCGCTACGCGAGCCGGGAAGCCACATTGTTTGGACACCGCAGCTATTGTTGCTGCCCCGTTCGGCTGAGCATTCAAAAGTGTTGCCCCCCCTTCGCCACCCAGGACCCGACAGCGCCGCCACACAGATAAAAATCTGCCCACTTGGTACAAACGGTAAACACTTAAACCGCTGAGCTGTTCAGTTTTTCCTTTCCCTGATGGGACGCAGCTGGCGTTTACAAGCTCAGACTCTGCGTTTGAACACATCACGTCAGTGGTGGAACGCAGGTTGACCCATTTTATCGGCTCATCCTTCCTCATGACACGCAAATAAGCAAAGGAGAATTTAATGCAGGCAGAAATTAATTAATCAAGATGAGAAAAAATAAGGCAAAAACAAGAAATGGTTCTGGACGGGTAAAGGTGTGATATTTCTGTTCAGATTGGAACAAGTAGCTCTAAGTAAACCAAATTTTAATTATGTGTAAAAATGTAACTGATGGATTGGTATGTTCATTTGTAAGGCACCTATTTAACAACTTTCCCCACATTAGCAGGTAAATTACTTAAACATTAGATCATTAAATGCGTCACAGCAGATGAAAATGGTTTAAATATGGACCAAAAAATAACAAATTCAGCAATTTAATCAAAAATAATAAAAGTCTTACACATTTATTACACTCAGAGATATAATTTAACATTCTTTCTATTAATTATGAGGATAAAACAAAACCCAATGTTCAGTTTCTCAGAAAATTAGAATGTTTTGCCTTTATTCAAGAAATATTATGTTTATTCAAGAAATAACATAATGTTGTATCCCTTCATTTTTTGGATTCATAAGTTTAACTTGCATCCTTTGAGTTCACTGTCCATAAAAATTATTTGCATTTGAATTGAAACAAATCAGCATCAGCCAGTGAAACCCTGATCAGTACATCTCTAACAATTTACAGGTTGTTGTTTTTTATGAAACCTGCCCCTAAAGAAAAGCACCAATAAGTAAACATATTAATAAACTGTGTGCATGTATTTTATTGTTAGATATAGTAAATATAGTAAAATTAAAATGTTCCTGGTTTGGTCAACTCACACTTTAAAATAAAGATAAAAAACATGAAACAGTGTCATATTAATTCAGACTTTTAATGATGTGATCACACTTCTATCAGGCTTGAATTCAACAAAAACATGCAATTTATTTTTTTTAAAAAAGCAAGAATGTGTTGCACCATTTTCAGTTTTTTTTTATTATATTTATTCAGTCAAAACTATAAAAACAGATAAAATGATCTGATCTACGGCGGCTTGTTCCCTTGGTAATTTGTAGCGACAGCAGGGCTGCAGGTTGATATTTGGCCATTCTTATTGAGATTAATCACAAAAGTTCAGAGTTTTTGGTAGAAATGTATTCATTTTTTTCCTATCTAAAAAGGCCCTAATACACCATCATAAAAAACCCTTTCATATTTTAGATCTACTGTAAATATCGGGCTACTTTCAATGTCAGATTTATCTTTATATACTTTTAAAAACAGGTTGAAACTGCACCAAAGTGCTGCACAAAAATTATAACTCAATAGAATACATTGATGAAAGAAAAAATAAATACATAAGTAAGTAAACATCACAAGAATGAAGTTACAGTATCAGGCCTCAATTAAATGCTAACAAATAAAAATAAGTTTTAAGAAGAGAGTTTAGGTTGGGGGGTTTTTGGCCCACGAAAACTTCTGAGTAAAAAGTTTGGCTAAATGACATTCCTGGCTGCTCTTAAATATCCAAAGTCAAGCAAAACACCATTTTCCTGCCATGCTCCGGTTTTGGAATAATATACAAAAAGTTCTTAAAATCAAAACACTCTCAGATTAAAGAAGGAACGTTATTGCCTTCTCCAAGAGGTCAGATCGCTGCATTTGCTTTATTTTCTGTGTTTTATCGATTTGTTTTAGACAGTTCAGCTCTTTCAGACTGCCGTCTTGACCAGGTCTCTCTTCTAAAAGAGATTTCTGAACTCAAGCGGCGGCCGTGAAGCAGAATTTAACCAGGAGGCTATTCCTGTTCGCCTGCCATCTCGCTTGCAATCAGAGGACGCGTGCGATAATTTCCGTCAGCATCATCAGATCTCCTGAGAAGCCGCCACGTTGGGTGAATTCCCTGCATTCCTCTGGCTCTGAGGAGGCAGCAGGCAGGTACAAGCACATAACAAGATGATATTCGAACCGGGGCGGATTTAAAGAATGAGCTACCGGCGTTTTTTGGGTCAGATGCACCTGAGCTTCGTTTACATAAACAGCAGCTGACTCCCAGAACCCTGACTTTGCATATTAGTGCCACTTATCTCGTAAAGGTAAAAGTTAAACGCAAACAACTGTATGTGAATGGTACAGGGGTTTGTAAGTACATTTTGAGCAAATAATAACAAAACATAAGCTTAGAAGTTAGTTATTTGACAAAAATTGTCAAGTTTTTAAAGTTCAGAAGTGGAAAATTCATGCAAAACTGCAAAAACACAAAATCTTACCAAGTATTTTTGGCCTCGTTTCTAGAGAAAATATGTTAGTACACTTGAAATAAAGCAAAACTAACTTACATGTAACTTTTCAGGAAGATATAGAGCTTGTTTTAATTAAATGACGCCTTAATTTTAAGGAAAAAGTGTTTTTTTATTGGCAGATTGTTTAACTTTTAACAAGAAATTTTGCCAGGATTAAAGTGAAATAATTGACTCTAAACAAGCTTATATATGTTGCAGAATAAGTCAGTTTTGTCTTATTTCTTTGAACTAATTACGACATTTGCACTAAAAACTAGACAAAAACAAGTGCTACTAGTATTTATGTACACTGCAAAAACAAATATTATCAAGCATTTTCGTCTAGTTTCTGGTGGAAATATCTTTATACACTTGAAATAAGACAAAACTAACTTACAAGTAACTTTTCAGAAAGTTAATTGTTTTAACTATTCTTGAATATTGATTGGTACTAGTTCCATTTATATTTTCAGCATGATTAAAAACGTCTTGTTTCCTGCATGATGAGCTGTTTTAGCACCTCCTGTCACTTTAAATCCAAATAAACTACTGCTGGGCACAACGACCAACTCAACCTTTACACTCGCACGTGAAAATGGCTGCAATCAGATCCGCAATTATACAACAGCACATCTTTGAAAAGCAGAAGTGAGGCCTCCTGCACAACCAACAAGAACGCAGGAAGTGGTTTCTGGATTGTAAGTCAACAATAAAAAAAAAAAAACACTTCAGCGGTAAAACCAGCTGAAGTAACTTGGTTGCTAGGAGACAGACTGGGCTCTGCTTGGGTTGGTCGGTAACGGTGACCCCAGCCGAGATGTTTCTGAAACGACTCATTATCCAGACACCAAAAAATGACAGTGAATTTTTTAAGCACTTAAAGTTGCTTTTAGAAGCAATTGAGAAACAAACTGAAGTATAACAATATGCAAAATATGTAATTTTCCATAATAGATCCCATTTAAGTAAATCAGGAGAGGTCGAGTTACAACCCTACAACCCATGAACACCAGTTAGTTCTCAGAAGATGTTCTACATTTAATAATTGATTCGTTTTATCTGCTTTGATACTGCATGTCCCTCTTAATCCTAGAGTTTCATCCTGCAAAGCTGGGCTGGATGAGAGTGGGAGAGCGTTGCAGCTCCTCTCCGCTTCATAAAGCGTGACATGTGACCCCCTGACCTCGTCTCCTGGAGATAACTGGAGCTGTAATCCGGCTGAGGCTGCACCGACCGACGGACAGACAGAGGAAAATGTGTCACAGAGACCGACTGACACGGACTCAAACCAGCAGCCGGGTACGTTTCACTCCGGCTGTAATTCCAACCGGAGCAAAGCTGCATTTTTGCAACGTTTCAGCTCAACTCTCCTGAGCAGCGACTTTGTTTTTATAGAAGTCGGTGACATTGTAAGGGGTGGGAGGGCATCCTGTTGGCTTACTTTACGCCTGTTTGTCAGTCAGCTAAACATAGATCACACACGTAACTGACCAGACGCTATGAGGGCTCATGTTTGTTCGCTTGGTCGAGCTGGAAAGGCTTCCTAAAGTGAATCCCAGCAGCTGTAAGGCATTTCTCCGAGTCCCTGCCGTGAATACACAGCGTAGCTCTAAAGAACTATTTGCATATCAGTGCGGGACATTGAGGAAATTACATTATAAATGCAGTTGCAGTTCACAATGTTTGTACTGTCTCAGTGAAGCAATTCAAATTCAAATGCCAATTTCCTTATTAGCCAGCAGTTTATTTCCTAAAACAATTTATAAGCTGGCAACACGTTTTGCCTCGGAATAAAGACGGCTTGTATACGCTCATAAAAAACTTCTCACACCAGGAAGATAGGCAGGTCATCAAAGGCCTCTGTGTTCCTCCCAATGTAATACTGAACATATCGACATGTATCTGTGAAATGAAAGTAAAATACATGGCTTTCCATGCGTGACATGTTTTTTTTTTACTCTGACACTTAGCGACATTAGATACACGTCAAATAGCGGCAGGCTGATGGCAAAACAAAGATCAATAAACTTTAAATTCTAAAGAACGTTTAACATTTTAAATATCCAAAATAAGTAAACAAAACAACAAGTAAAATCAATTATAAAGCAAAATTATACTTCAAAAAAGGGCTAGTTGAGACCAAAGCACCAGACTGAAGACTTTATTATCCAGTTTTTCAGAAAAAGAGAAAAATTATTTTGAAAAATGCAAATGGAAACTATTGAGCTCATTTTAATTTACCATGCGTTTAATTGATTTATTGTGAGCTACATCACAATTGCAACGCACACCATCAACAGCTACAGATCAATTAACTGCATGATAAATTACAACAAGCTCAATAATTCTCATTTGGATAATTCTCATTTTTCTTTTTTCTCACTTTTTACCAAAAACTGGATGATAAAAGTCTTCAGACTTCTGGGGGGAACCGTGAGATTTGTTCAAAGTGGTCTCAAAATGACAATATTATCATTTATCGCAATTATCACAGCGGCAATTTATCATACAGCAAAATGTATTATCTACTTTGGACAGATTTCCCACCAAAGAAATTTGAAAACTGCTTTTTGTATTTGCTCAGGTAATCTTTACCTGACGTTAACTGAACTGAAACCAGCCCTGCTTAGTCCGCTTTAATCAAACGAGTTTGTTTTTCTAGAAAGTCCGGATCGTTTGGGGAGGTGTGAACCCGTAATTAAACTCTGATGCGGATCAAGAAAAGCAAACTCTGGTCCGCCTACAAACCTCGGTTTTGGTTTGGTTGAAGTAAACGCAGGCGCAGTTTGAATATATATGTGAATGGCAGGCGGACCGGAGGCGGCTCCAACAGCAGGAAGTGGACTACAGTGCAGGGCATTCTGGGTAATTACAAGCCAGACAGACATGCGACAAACAAAAAAATTCTACAACCAATAAAACCTGGCGTGTGTCCTTTTATTGTGCATTTCCTGTGCAGTGCCCCCACAGGCGAGAAGGGGAACAATTTTTTCAATTAGTTTGGTTCATTTGACGAAATACAGTGTAAGACTGAAAGCAGCAGCTGGAAATATAATAAATGTTGTAACTAACTTTGATTCCCAAACAAACTGAGTCTATCAGACGGTATGAAAAGGTGTGAAAATACCAGAGGTGGGCATTGTACTGAAAAAATGTACTTAAGTAAGAGTAGAGCTACTTTAACATATTTTTACAAGAGTAAAAATAAGACGTAGCCATCCAGGAAATTACTCAACTAAGACTAAAAAGGTATTTGGTAAAAAGTCAACTCAAGTACTGAGTAACTGATCAAATTATCAATTAATATTTAAAAATTACAAAATCAGACGGACCAAAAATAAAAATGTTAAATGGAAATTTTGGTCCTATAAGGACCAAAATGACAATAGTTCATATAAGTAACCAAAAATAACAAAGATATTTTTATCTAAATCAGTTTATTTCAATAAAAAAACTAACAAGAACTGCAGATGTGTGTCTGTGTCTGGTTAATTTTTGTTTTTGTCAAAACAAAGTTACCAACTCTAATTGTTTGAGAATTGGGAATAACAACAAGAAATCTACAAGGTGTTGGACACCTTTCGGGATCACTGTACAAAATAAACAGCCTAATTTAGAGGTAGATCTTGAGTATTATTACCTGGAAAGGCAGTATGTTGTTGCTGTTGTCGCTCCTGAACGCGCTGTCCTCCAGCCAGGGCTTTTGAGCCAGAGGACCGCCGGGTCTCGGGAACTTTGGGGGCGCTATGACATTGCTGGTGTAAGGCTTCTTCATCGGGGAGATGGGGTTGAGCGGAGACGGCACCCCGACCCCAACACCAACCCCGACGCCCACGGCTCGGCGCGGGTCTCTGCCCGGCTGCAGCCCGCTCCACGGGTTGGACGGGGTGCTCCACCCGGCGTTCTGGTGGTTATTCCAGGCGGAGGAGGAAGCCGGGGAAGACGACGAGGTCCCTTTGCTGTTGTTCATGATGGTCTGGTAAGCGTTTCTCTGGGGAAAGGGGCCTTGGCTGGGACTGACCGGGGATCTCCGCTGCTGCTGCTGCTGCTGCTGAGAAAGCCCGATTTGCGGGGAGAAATTCCCCCCAAACACCGGGTTGACGTGCGGGAAGTTCTGGAAAAGCATCGTCCCATTCACGGACGGTATTCCCTGGAAAAAGCTGTCCTCCACGGCGTTCGTGGTCCCCGTGGACCAAGTGCTCCCGAACGACGACGGAGGGGAACCGAGGGGTCCGCCGGTCTCCTGAAGCGGGTGCTGGTGGAAGCCCAGCCCGGGCAGGATAGGCGACTCCATCGGGACTCGGTCCTTGCTGCCGCCACTGCCGCTGTTGCTCAGCGCGGAAGCCGCTTGGCTGCTGCCGGTCGACGGGCTCTCCGACTCGGATGAGGATGAAGTGGGATCCGATGACGGGGTCGGCGTGGAGGGAGGAGGGTCTACTTGTGTCGGATCTTGCTGCTGCTGATGAGGCTGGGCTTTGTTTTTGTCCATCAGTAAATCATCCTGCATGGTTTGCTGAGCTGCGACAGGCGGAAACAAACACTTTGAGTCAAAATTAAGATTTCTATTTCTGGAGAGATCATAGAGAGAACTCCTACGGCAGCCGAAAGGGAATAAAACATTAAACTGGATCGCCCTCAATAAATAAAACACAAACACTTCCTTCCAGGGAGAACAAAATGACTCTTAAATCTCCACGAAGAATATGGCAGTAGATAATCACTAGATTTCGCCACGTCTCGTTTTTCCTTCCACGCAGGAACTCCAGAGCTGCAATGTGAAACTGATTCTGTGCTTTTTCTCTCATAAGGACCTCCCCCGACACTCATTTGCATACGTCAGTAAATACAGCTGTCCTTCAGCAAGGTGAAAAGACACCTTGACAGTTCTGGCTTATTAACGACTTCCTTTAAAAAAAAAAAAAACATTTGTCCGTTCTTTCTTTCTTTCATTTTTATTTTTTTAAAGCTACACTCCCAGCATCTTTTAGACGAATAAATTAAGTCACACAAGCAAAAAAATAATTGCATTTTTAATCAAGTATTTAATTTAAAAAAATAAACATTTCAGTTACAAGCTAATGCATTTAGTCTATATATCTAAATATTATTAAATTGTGTCCCACAACTTACACGAGGGGTATTTTTAAAAAGCAGAAGTCCGCATTGACACGAATTCGCTTTAGCATAATATTTCTACGACGCATTTTAAAGCGAACAATGCACAAATATTAGAAATTGTTTGGTTGTCTTGGCAACACATTGCAAAAAACAAATGTTCTTTAGAAATTAACTGAAAAATAAATAGAAAGGGTTTGGTTAATGCTAAACATAAAAACACCAAGGTAAATGCTGATGGTTTTATGCCATAAAACAATCAGAGGTTAAATATATTATAAACATACCGATAGTGACGCTGACACGGCAAGCTGTGGCCTCTGAATAATAATAATAATAACACTATAAAGCTGGCGTGACACAGACCCGTCAATCAGCACAATAACCACTGATATGAGTCGGACTTTAAATATAACCGCAGTAGTATGAGGTCCGCTCGCCCCACCGGTTATAATCCGTGTTTTTTCCTCCAGCAGAACCGCTTCCAAGGTCATGAAAGGACCATAATCAACAGCCCACAGTGGCTCAGTCCACGGACCCCCATAAAGACACTCTGACCACTAACCCGACCCTTGGTTTCTGTCGCGTTGGCAGAGATATCCTGGTGTGTGTGTATATATATATATACATATATATATACATGTCATGAAGCTCACTTCCCCACGAAAATCGGCTCTGTAGATCCATATGTGTCCCACTGCACACGGCAGAACAACATGCACACACTTTGAGGTCGACCTCTGCTCGAAGTGAAGCGGGAATTATTACCTTTTATCGTTCACCTTTTTCAGACTGTGAATAGATATTTCTGTTTGCCTCGCCTGGGTTGGGATATGACAAACGAGCTACGCTTGTGCCGAGGTGGTCAGCAGTTGCCTCAACAGCTGATTGACTGCGGCGCATGGGCGATGGCCGAAAGGGCTTGTGGGAGTTGGAGTTTTACCACGGTGCGGTAGATTGTCACCCAACGCTGCTTCCAAACTACCATGTAAAACCATTGGAAACTGTTTACATTAAGCAGCAGAGGCTCTACTCAAGTAAGAGTAGCACTACTTAAACATATTTTTACTTAAATAAAAGTAAGACGTAGCCGTCCAACTACTCAAATAAGAGTAAAAAAGTATTTGGTAAAAAGTCTGATGAAATTATCACTTAAAAATTACATAATCAGATGAAGCAAAATAAAATGCTAACAATAATTTATATAAGTAACAAAAAATAAAATTAGGCAACAGATTTTTTTTCAAATCAGTTTCTTTCAATATAAAATCTTATGAAACTTTAATAAAAACTGCAGGTGTGTGTCTGTGTCTGGTGAATCTTTGGTTAAAGCATGTTTGTTTATTCATTCAATGGGTAGAAAATATAGAAATTTTACTTAAGTAAGAGTAGAGATACTTCATAATAAAATTACTTAGGGTAGACATAAAAAGCACAGTGTAGTGAAATTACGCCTAAAAGTACATTTAAATTAAAAAAAGTTACTCAAGTAAATGTAACTGAGTAAATGTAACTTATTACTACCCAACTCTGTGAAGCAGCGTTAATTTCTGTTGTCCTGCATAAAGCTTTATTGCACAAATAAAACGACATTTTTATTTTATTTTATTTGTTGCTATATAACACAGATTAAGAAGAATTTAGATGTACTTTGGCAGTTATTAGTAGTTATTCTGATGCTGTATGTCCAGTTGTTAAAAACAATTGGCATTATTACTATTTTTTTTTAAACTGTCATAAATAAATAAATAAATAAATAAATAAATAAATAAATAAATAAATAAATAAATAAATAAATGGAAATGAAGTGAAATAATTTACACAGGTAAACTTACTAAGGGTTGAAGATTCACTATTTATTGTATCGTTTATTATATGACACATTTCTTATAAGAGTTTTGATATATTGTTGCATGATAAATTCTAATTAACAATGTTTAAAAGTGCCCTTACAGTTGGGATTGATAGTTTTATTATTTTATCCACTGTTTGCTTAATAAAAAACATCAATAAATACCAATAAATTTGAAAATTAAGTTGGTGACTGGTGTCCCAACGAAGCCAGTTACAAATGAGAATCTTTTTCAAGACCATTAATTATGTTTGTGAGACTATGATTGGTGTGACACAGTCATAGTTGTACAGTTACCTAAAAATAACTAATAGCAAGTTATTAGTTATACCAATAAAATAAATTGTACCTCACTTATAAACATATGACAATTTGCCTCTATATTTTCTGAAAACCCTTGACCTCAACAAAAATTAAATGAGTACTTTAAAAAGATTTAAAGAGGAGCAGCAAAAACAAATGAGAAAGGTTACCATTGCTTACCAACAACTGATGGTGTCAACCAGGACAGTCTTCAGTCAGAAGCCTCTTCAGATTCACAGCAACACTGACTGCTGGAGATCTTTGCTGCCACTATGACATTTGAAAATATTTGGATAATATGAGTTGCGACAGCATTAGATTTCCTTTTGGGGATAAAACAAAAACAAAGCAAAGCAAAAAAAAAACAACATATTTTTGAATTGAATTGAATTGACATGGCTGCAACATTTTGTTATTTTATTAATATAATATAATATAATATAATATAATAATATAATATAATATAATATAATATAATATAATATAATATAATATAATATTGGCCCTGCGACAGACTGGCGACCTGTCCAGGATGTACCCCGCCTCTCGCCCGGAACGTTAGCTGGAGATAGGCACCAGCACCCCCCCCCGACCCCACTGAGGGACAAGGGTGTTCAGAAAATGGATGGATAATATAATATTGAAGTGTAGAAGTTTTAAAACTACATTTCCCATTTTTGCCGGAAGTGGTCTTTGTTTTGATGACGTAGCCACGACCCGTCAATGGAGTCAAACGGTCAGAGGAAACGAGGCCATAGCAGATTTAAAGTGTATTTTCTCGTTAAATAACCACCGGGAGGAGATAAATGCTATTTTGATAATCATGGCCGTCAGGGCGTAGTTTTACTCCAAATACGTGGCACGTCTGCAGCCGACGGACCGTGTCAACAAAACGGCCTATGTGGGGCTAGTTAGCTAATTTGTTAGCGAGTGATTTTTTTTTCTCCTCCTTTAGCAGATTATCACGTGTGGGACTTTTTTTTTTAAATTTCATTTTCGTTTCGCCTCTCATTCTTCGCTTTCAATAGGACATAATCGCTCCAACAATGGCGGAACCAGGTCCGGTGGTCGCACAGCAGAATTTGGACAGGTGAGTTGAAGTTTTAGCAAATAAGCTAAAGGCAGCTACGTAGTTCACTTACATTAAGGGGTTTTTGTAAAAAAAAATACAGGCTGTATTCATTAAATATTCGAGAATTTGTTCACTTTAGTCAGAAATGTAGATTTTGCATTGCCTGTTGATGTATTTTTACCATGTTTTTTGGAGTGTCTCTGGTAAGGGACGTCCTTAGCCATCTGCTTCTGACAATGATCTGATTGATGCCACCTGCGGTCGATGACCTCGCAATACCTGACGTTATACATCCAATATGGATGGCTTAATCTGAACCTCTTTAATTCATTGTTACGTGTGTATGTTGGTCTAAAACGGGACGCTCTAGTTTAAAAGTTACATTTATAAACACAAACTAAAACCTTTTCAAAACAGTAAGTTGTAGCTTATCGTTTAGGTTATTTATCGTGGGTATTTATTGTATGGTCATTTATGCGATACATTTCTTGTAATAAGAGTTTGATTATAGTTGTCACAATAAATTCCAATTAGTGATGCTTAAAGACCTCTAAACCAGTCCGTATTATTTATTTTTATTTTTTTCTTCATTTGTTAAATAAACGTGTTTCAATAAAATTGAAAATATCATTAAATGTAGTTACTATGTGCTGTCTAGTGGTACAAATCACTTCTTTGAGTGACTGGCATCCTAAAGAGGCATATTACAAACGTGAATGTTTTTCAAGAGTAGAATTTGTTTTTGTGGGGCTATGATTGCTGTCTATGCAGTCACAGTCAGTTACCTAAAAATAGTAATAAATAGTTTGTATAGCTTGTATTTTGTGGTACTGCAGTACCACAAAATACATCACAAACATTTCACCCCTACTCTAGGCATGTTAGTAAACTGTTTAAAGGTTCTGTATTCATGTCTTTCATATAAAAATATTGAATTAACTTTTAAATGTTACAAATAAAATGTGTTTGGGTGAAAAATGAAGACTGCTGTAGCATTTTAGATGCTAGGATTGCGATGTGTTAAAAGCTATGGTCCAATTATCACAAAAATGTTGCTGGACTTGCAACACTTTAATTGACAAACAGTGTTTAATGACTGTACTGCCGTTTAATTGGAAAGATAAATGTCAGTTAATTTAGTCTTAATAGGTTCCTTATTCACCAGAAAGGTCACGTTCATTACAAAATGTGATATTTTCATCATACAGATTTTCTTTTTCTGCCTTATAAACATCATGAATATTTATATCTTGAAATTAACTTTATCTTTTATAGAATCCATGTATTTCTGGGGTAATTAAGTATGCATTCTTGTGCTAAATTTGTTGAGTTTTCAAACACATTGGCTTGGAAACTTTAACCAGAAGATAATTTGGTTAATTTATCCAATCTTGAGGTAAATCAAACATGTTTTTGTTGGTCCAGCACTTAAACAAAAAGCTCTTATGCTGCCAACGTAAAATGCAGAATAAATAACACTATAGGTATGCTTACAATATTAATAATTCTCAAAACTGCAACTCAAGCTAATAAATAAAAGGCTGTTTTTTTAAGGTTATTGCACAGTTATTAATGTTATGACTGATTGAAAGCCTGCAGAGTCAAATTCATTTATAGCAACATAGCAGGAAATCAGGCCGCAAGATTTCTGAAAATGTTTAATCAAAATCTACTTGTGAATTTATCTGAAGTATGGACTTCCTTAAAGCGTTTTCTTTTAAATGGGAAGAGACCTTGAGGTTAAGTCCGTACATATCTCGCATCAAAAAACAGCAAACATGGAGGTGGAGCAGAAGAGAAACTCTGCATTTAGAAAGTAAAACTGTCTCATAACTGCATCCAATTTCCCACATTCAGCGGTTACACCTATCCAACATTATGACCTTACATTTATTTTAAAATTTTAGAAGAGAATGGTAATATCCTTTACTGTCCCTCAGTGAGAAAATTCAGCCTAAGAAAGTTTTATATTTTCAGAACCATAATCCTTTTTTGGATTTATTGTAAATTACCAAATTATCTTAAAGGAGCCACACTTTATTGTAAATTGTTAACATTTGGTTCCTGGCAGTAGAATTGAAACATTGTCTTGGAAAAACGTAGAATTTATGTATGTGCTAAAAGTATTTAGCATTTTTCACGCTGGTGTACTGAATTGGAGAAAATTAATGTAATGTCATCTCTATTTGCAAACCTACAGCAGACAAATCACATTTTTCACACCCCAAAGTTTCCAAATCACGCTGAGACTGCTTGCACAATCTGGGAAGTGTTTTTTCTTCTCTGTTTTATATTCTTCACACTGGCTCCAGATTATGGGTTGAGGTTTCCTTACCAAAGATCTAAACACAAGAGAGTCTGTCTCTTTGGGAAAAAATGTAATTCATTCAGGTGTAGGCCTGTCACGATAACAAATTTTCTTGGATGATTAATTGTCCCAGAAATTATTGCGATAAACGATAATTTTGTCATTTTAAGACCATTTTGAAGAAAGTAGTTCAGTTATGCTAGCTTGACTTTGAAAATCTTAACATGTAGATGTGCTGTGGAATCGTTGTGCTGTGGAAAGGCGACCTAAACGAAAACTCTGACAGATCATCAGTAGAGCAGATGTTTAAGTTAGCTATTTTACCGCTGTTGAGTTAGCTTAGCTAATTGCAGCGGCAGCTAATCTATCGCAACACAATCACTTATTAATAATCT